GCACTGAAGTCTGCCACAGACACAATTACAATCATCTGGTTATAACAAGTACTTTATCATTGTCCTGTATTGGCTCATAGAGACTTACATCTCTGTAACCCTGCTCCGAGCTTCCCCAAACATCACCTGAGACATTTTTACAGCCAGCAGGACAGTACACTGACCCACTGAACAAACAAGGAGTGGCATGAGACATGTTCAACAAAATGAAGAGATTTGCTGGTAATGATGAGGGTAACTCACTTACCTCAAATACAGTGAACTAAAGTGAGAGCCTCTTTGTAAACAGGAAATGAGCTCTAGAAGAGAAAACATACAAATGTGTGTATGAACTGTGGCATCTCAGATTACATAATACCACCCTATTCAGTGGTGCAGACACAGAAGCGGTGTTCTATATTAGGACATGAGCTGTGGTTGTGGTGAGTCTTTGTTTGAGTCCCTGTTGAGTTCACGGGTACAGTGTGATCACTGCTCACAGACAGTGGTCTGTACCTCACCATGAGCTTAGCTCCAGACGCAGACAGATCCCATAAACAACAGGCAAAACAGGAAACTATGATACACGCTGTGCAATACAGATGACCTCAGTCATACCAAGAGAAATAAACACTCATTAAATCTAGGTGTCCAGACAACCTGACATATATCTTACAAACTGGGTATTTCATCTTAGTATGATGCAACATGTTTGAAAAGAAAAAACTTTGCTGATTTCTTATATTTAAAAACAAAACAAAAAAAAACATAGCAGCCAAAAAATTTATGGAGATGTGTTTTATAAATGTAAAATATGTTGACAATGAATAAAGACTGGAACCAGAATAAGCCTTTGGCTTCATTCTACTCCTCAAAGTCATTGTGACTTGTTAAATGCTATAGTACATCATGTTTTGTGTTAATAATGTTTAAGACAAGTAAATTTCATTAATTCATTCAAAGTAAAAGTAAAAACAGATTTGTTCATCTAAGTCCCTCCTTCCCCACTGCCTTAGTGGTGCATGAGTACTAGTTAGCAGGCAGTTCATGTGGGGGACTCAATGAAGAGTGGGGGAGTGGGTGAAAATATTCCTCCACAGACTAAAGCCTGAGGCCTGGATCCATTCAAGGCTCAGAGAAGGAGCAGAGCTTTCTGAGCAAACATGCTGGTGCAAAGACAATCATGAGGAGTGAATGCCAATAAGCACTGACTCATATACACATAAATATAGCAGACTTATGTTAAAACAATACAGACATTCCATCAAAAGGGCAATTGTTACACATCAAAATGCTTGTAATCAATGTTATGTAATATCAAATAATATGATTCTCGGATTTTCAAAACGTAAACAAGTTGTTGCCATACCTGGATAGAGGTCTGTTGCATAAGACAGCAAAAACCCTCGTCCAGAGCGGTGTGTGCCTGACATAAATGTTATCACCACTTCAGTACTACTTAGTGTCACATTCCTCTGAGACGCTTCCAGCTTCCCACAAACTGGTCCTGGAAAAATCAATAATTTTACAAAATGTAGCAACCACGAAAAGGCAACAGACATTATTTTTCTTTTTGACTGAATTTCACCCCTTAGATTTAGTGTGTTTCTACATTTCTATGCCCCCGAGATATGGCGGATACACCTGGGTGAAAGAAATGTATGTGTCAGGCTATTGCGAAAGTGTCTTCTATGGCCTGTTATTTATGTGTCAATGCAATGGAATGACAAACTCTGTGACTGAAAAGTGTAATTAAATTAAGTTATTGTTTCTTACCGAGACTTGTGTAGCCGTTTTTATCTGTGATTACAAGTGAACCATTGCTGCAGCCTGGGCTACTCTCAATGTCAAAATCTCCAAACATTAGGCGCAGCGTCCTTCCTTCTGGCACTCGAACCCTCCACTTGCAGAATATATTGCTGGGATATGTGCCTGGATAGTTCTGAGAGGCCAGGGTCCCAGACTCTGCTCCAAGTAGTGTGTGTCCACAGCCATTTCCTACAAAGTAAAGTACAAATATTAAGAACTGTGCCTTGGTACGGTCTCCTTAATCAGGGCCTCATGTGTTCCCCTTTTTGCTGGAACATATTCTGTCTTCTCTCGATTTCTGAGATGATTTCAGTGTTTTCTTGTTGTACGTCTGTTTTGGCCCAGTCCACCAGCCAACAGTCAAGTGCTCAAATAGTTACTTTACAATTTAAGTTACGGTTAATAATAGGTGAAATGGACAAAAATACATTTCTTCATATTGTTATAGAACAGTGACAAACTTCATGCAGTATTTCATTTTAAAATCCACAATTTGCAAAAACAAGCCTATCAATGTCTTAAGTATAATAAAAACATGAATTGACTGCATAATTAACCACTAAAGATATATATGTTCCCTATGCTTAGGAAAGCACACTGCAAGTTTCTGCCATTATTGGTTTTATTTTGCTTTTTTGCAGCTTTTGTATACAGTGTTTATTATGGCCTCTATACTAAATATTACATTTTTCCATCTCAAAAACTACAAGTGCAGTATCATCCATTCTTCAATATTTTTGCCTCTACTGCAGGGGTCTCCAACCTGTAGATTGGGAGCCAGTAGCTCTCCATCCCCTTCCAAGTAGCTCGCCAAGGGATTCCTGAATTACATGTATTGTTCAGAATGACTCAAATTTGATTAAATGCCTATTATTATTGTAAATCTATCATTTTGATGCTTGACTTTCTGCACTCACGAATAAATAGTGGTTTATGTTCTATGTTTTATCTAACTGTACCCCATCTAAGTCTTGCCATATACTTTATTTTCTGTGACCGTTAAAATTAGAAGATCTCTAGAATTTTTGTTTTGTAAAGGTAGCTCACCCGAGGAAAAAGGTTGGAGACCCCTGCTCTACTGCTTACTGTATAATGAAAATAATAGCTCTATTAATATAAGCTATGTTTCCTCCTACTTCTTCACAGAAATTCTTATTACTTTTTTTTTTAACCTTTTCTCCTTGAGATAAAGTGACTAATTCAAATATTTAAGGCCCCTAACTGTAATGAGTCAAACAACAAACACATTCCCACAGTGGTCAGACACAGATAAACGCTGTGGGGGCAAAAACCACAAAACATCCATGAATGGTCCAAATGGAAAATACTCCATCAACTATCTAAGTCAACATACTATTCCTGCTGTGCCATATAAGGATTTGGACTTTTGCTCAGTGTAGAAAAGATAAGACCTCAAATCTCTAGGGGTGATATGGCAAAAAATGTATATCAAGCTTTGTTTTAGTCATATTACAGTTTAGATTTTATAACAATGTATGAAGGCTACATGAAGACTAACCAAATGGAAAAAGGTGGAAAAGATTTAGCTTTCTGGTCAAACAGAAACATAGTAAATTACAATGTGTAATGACATTTTTTTATTGCCCAGCCCTAATCAGATACAGTTATTATTCATTTTATTTCACTTTATTTAAACAAAAATGCACAAAAATCTTTAACAGATTACTGCAGTCTATATTCAGATCAGCTTTGATCCTTAAATACCATGAAGACTAAATGCCCAGCTCCCACAGGATTCAGTGGAAATGCTGCTGTGACACACAGACTGTGAGCAACAGAGCATGGATCTGTCACCTTCCTGTAGAGACCAAAGCAGTCGCAAAGGAAGTTCACTGTACCCCTCCCCCTGCTCACTAAGTTCAATATAATATAAGTTTTATTACATAGGAATGGACATGTGTGCCAACTGTTAATTCTCGGAAGGTAATTTCAAATGAAAAAATACCACACATCCAGTGTCCCACTGCAACATTGTTCAAGGCTTTTTTGACATGTCCACACAGGTCCACAGAAACAGACAAGATGTTCACCGGTGTTTCAGTTAGAGAAGTGGTCAAGTCCCCCATTAATGACAGGAAACGTTGTAGGCCAATAAAGAACTTAACACAATAAAATAAAATGGTTGTGTGATATTGTATGGTTGCATGTTCTTGTAGGTCTATTTGCATTTATAAGGCATTTCAGCACAAAGTATCATAAAGAAGAAACAGACGTAGACATGTAGGTACAATAATTATGTTGTTAGTTAGTTTGCAAAGTATTTTTTCAGGCACCTTTTAACCAAAATGCCTATGGTATGAATAGGTCATAGCTTAAGTCTACTATAAAATAACATAACCAACATAATGAGCTATTTATTACATAGTATTATAAACAATTCACTGTCTGCCACTACTTTTTTCATCGCTGCTTATTACTACTGATAGGCTATCAGGTGCATGTATTATTATTATTATTTGTTTAATGCATAAACACTATACTCTTTGGTAAAATATAGCCTTGCCAAAGAGGCGCAGCATAGTTAAATAAAGGTCGTAAAATGTTATCTTTAAAGCGCTACAAAGAAGATTTTTTTTCTCACCTTCCTGTCCACACACATCCGCAAAATAAAAACTAAAAATAATCCAGGCAGATCTAATGAGAGTCTTTACAGCATCTCCGGTTGTTTCGTTCATGTTTTCCAAAGCTCGCGAAATGTAAGGTGCAACTGGAAAGTAAAGCTGTTTGTCCCATGAAAGTTTTGGGCAGTGAGGGTGGGCGTTTACTATCGGTCAATGTAATGAAATACAGGATCCTATTGGCTCGAGTTTCATGTCAATCAGACAAGGCCCGGAATTCCATTCCCACGGAGAGGCGGGATCATTGGATATCAGGCGATGGGGCTGGAAATAAAGAACTGGTGCGTTGTTATTTAGCAAACAATAGTAGAATATCTGAAATGATCTTCGATAAAATAAACCAAACTCACCAATTCATATCGGCCTATTTAAAAAAACATAGCATCAAATGTGACTTTCACGTGGACTGTATGGAATGCAACTAAATACTGCCATCTTGTGGTCCGACACCCGCAACAACAAAAATAACAGGCCTAAACTGCGACCCAAAAGAGAAGGAGCTGTTCTTTTCTGGATAGGTTATATGCTATGTGAGGTTATTGCCGTTTTATACCAAAGTTTCTATTTCTATTCATCTAGGTAGACGGAAGGTTGGAATCTTGGCTAAATGAAGTTTGAAATCTGCGACAGTGCCCAGATCGGCTGAGCCCTGTCCTGGCGCTTAGAGCAGTGTGACCGATTTACGCTTTGCGTGCGGACTACGACTTCTCGTGACACCGGGACAGATGCTTCTCAGGCAAATGCTGCCTTTAGCGCAGGAAGTGCGGCGAGGGAACATAGCGCATGCTCCCCTACTTCTCTGATAAGCGGAGGACCTGTCTATTGCTTTAATACGGTGAGTCCTCACACAACATAATTAACTTGTATCGCGCTTGTTGGCAGTTTGATCAAATAAAGGGTACACTTTTTAAAAACAGGCTGTAAAACGCCGTGAAGCGCTGTCCGAAATGTGCGTGTGACGCTCCAACGTCACAGAGGAGATGAAGCCGGCTGAGCGCGCACGCAATTAGTTCGCTATAAACAGCACAACCAGCACGACTCACTCTTAAGGCTTTATTGCAATGTTATACAAGTAGGCTACCTAGTTCAAAAATAACCCACCTTCTGAGTAGTTTAGACTATTGTTTTTAGAACCATATGGCCTAACCTAACCAAGTTTTCCTTGACTGAGAAATGTAGACTGCCAACTGTAAATCTGAATAGGCTTAGGCTATAAAAGCACATTGCCTTGAATTGCCATTGAATACAATCGTAGACCAATGTGGATACATTTGAATAAAGTATGCCTATATCTGATTCTGTAAATAACTTTTTTTTTTTTTTTTTTTTTTTTTTTTTGTATGCCTAATCCTAATTTTGGATTACCTTTTCCATTCATCCTAGATGTCACACTAGAGGCTATAATCGGTTGTTACTTTACTGTAATAAAAATATGTGTTCTTGTAATTTAATATAGTACATAGGATTCTTTTATAATTGCATATTCGAGTGTGCTTTTGATGATCAATAACTGTCCACGCCTTTTGTTGTGTTAGCTGAGGCCCATGCTGAGAGCACATCTTCAAGAAATCTAAAAATGCTGAAAACAGAAGAATCCTCCCCAGTCATCCTGCACCTGGAGCCTATCGGGTAACTCAGTATGAACTGTATTTTAATGTTGATTTCTTTGTCATTCTGTTTTAATGAAATATGCCATTGAGAATCATTTGCTTAGAGGACATAATTAATTAATCTATTGTCCCTACTGAAAGTGCTAAATCTATGCTAAACATTCAACAGTTTTAATAGTTGAGATTCTGTCGCCTCCTGCAGGGTTAATAACGAAACTGCAGGGAGTGGTACAGTCTTGGCTATAGACACCCAACATGGTAAATTGTTATATTTCTTCATAAAACCATTAATGAATTATGGCTACGCACAGAGACCATAATTTGTTATTGTTAGATGAGAGTAAGGCTGACGGGGAGGAGACTGAGTATGGCTATCCCATCACCTGTGGAGACAGCAGTGCAGTTCTTCTGATTAAGAAGTTTGTCTGTCCTGGAATTAATGTGAGATGTGTCAAAGTAAGTTATCTTGTCCCTAATTAGTTATTCTCATCATATATATATATATTTTTTTACTTAATCGTTCATAAAGAGCAATTGTGTTTTACAGTTTAACAATGAACTTATTAGTCCCAAGCAGTTTGTATATCTGTCGGGAAAGGCTACACTGAAGGACTGGAAACGAGCCATTCGACTCGGCGGAGTTATGCTCAGGTAAGCATACACATTTGGATACGTACTGCTTTGAAGTAGGCTACTTAATTTGTTTGACTATTCTTGATTTTTGTTAAAAGATTGTAAATGTTATTCTGTTGTTGTTTCATCTTTTTCTATCAAATGGTAAAATGCAGAAAATAAGCGCTAAGGCTTATCATTTTAATTAATTTCGTCTATCTGGTTTATTTTGTTCCAAATGTAAAGGAGGAAACAAATATCTAGGCATATAGTAGGAAAACAGTGGGATCCAAATGCCAGAGACTTTTACATTTTAATTGGTGATTCCTCAGTTGACCCTTTCTCTGGCCTGTTGTGGTTTAACTCAGACTAGCTGCTCAACCATCACTTTTCTCATACATTTGACTCTTGGTCTGTGTTGTCAGTGTTTCACAGCACATTCCAGAGTCTTTCTGTAAGCTGTGTTTTTAATGCAAAGTGTAAGCTATGTTGCTAAGCAATACTCACTCTTTATCATGTTTGCACTTGTTCTTGGTGTTACTGTGATTTAATTTGAATCTCTCCATGACAAAATCTGTTATTTCATTCTTGATTTCTAACAAATGAATTTCACTGTTCGTAAACACATTTTGCAGACAAACATAATGTTGTTTTCTAACCTTCTCTGTTATGAAGAAAAATGATGGACTCGGGCCAAATAGATTTTTATCAGCACAGTACTGTGTGCAGTAACACCTGTCGCAGCACTAAATGTGATGTACCCATGAGCAGAGCCGTGGTCCAGCCCAGCCCTCCCAGTGTGACAGGTACCCTCACTAACCTGCACAACCTCACACACTGTTAGTGTAGCAGAAAATACCATCCAGAATCCGTGTGGACATGTCCCCCTTGATTTTTGCACATTCTGAGGTAATTTGAGCGTCTTATGTACTATAATTTACTGTTGTTTTTTTCTCAGGAGAGGATTTTAATGATGCAACAGGGACTGAAGAACATTCAGAGGTAAAATTTGGTGCAGAAACAGAAGATGGTGCTACTGCAAACCAGTCCCCTAAGCCAGCCACAACAAATGGACATCCTGCCAAGAAGGAGAGAAGTGACTCACCAGGTAACAAGGACCAATATACAGACACACAAGGGGCTGCTGTGATGAAATGAAACAGATTTTAAACATACAGTTTAGATTCATACCCTCACACTGGTAGTGAGCTACTGGAACTTGTAACTTTATTAAAACTTTGTTATACTAGTCTGACTGTGACCTTGTAGCATACACCTTTGCCTGTATAGATATGTTCCTTATTCTACTTAACATGGTTCCTATATTTTTACAATTTTCCAGATGGAGTACTAAGTCTCTGGAAATCTGTGGCAGAATCTGGATTAATGGGAAATGTCTTGTCAAGTGTCCAGACTAAATTATTATTGACTTTAAAGGAAATTGAGGCTCGAGGTTTGAAGGACAACTTACAGCTACAAGGTGAGTTAGATCAAACACCTTTAAGGCTTTTCCACCTTCACAGTGACAATGCCATAAAAATCATTCTAATATATTTTTGATAGATGCCGTAATCCTTAATACATTATGTGAGATGTTTGGACTTTGTGAGTCAGTAAAGCAAGCTGTGGAACTGAAGCGCAATTTCAATGAAAACAGAATCGACAATTTTTATGGTAAGAGTGCAAGTGTACTGTGACACTATGACTATAAGAATATTTACAAAGGTGTTACACATACATAGGAACACATGCAGTTTACATGAAAATAAACAATACTTAAAGGAACCATATGCAAAATTTCAGCTGTGGCCAAACTGTACCTTACCGTACCTATGTACCGTACAGCTTTTACCCGAAATAAACAGATTTATTCTTAAATTACCAGACAATGAACATCATGGCCAAGCTGTTTATATTATAATTTGATGTTTTACTTCTCAAGATGATTATCAAGTTAGAAAGCCAAATGAACCTCACGCGAGTCTCTCATTTGGGTTGCCAGTTTCAATGCTAAAATCCTGTTGGTTTAAACCTAAAAGTTCTCTGAATCTGATCTGAATCCTCACTAAACCCCAGCACCTACAGCCAATCATTAATCATTGCCTCTGCTATTGCAGTATATGCTGTCCATATTGAGAACAGAGTGTCCTCTATGTGCAGGTTAAGGCACAGGCAACCCAGGTTAAATTGTGATTGTAATGTCTTTTTTTAAAACTGTAAAAGTGCAGGATAGTTCTTTTAAAAATTAAAGGTAACTATAAATATGAAGATCTGATTAGGGGATTGTTCTTTCAACATGTCCCAAAATACAATTTTCGCAACTTTTGTGCTTATTCACGGCACTTCAGAATGATGAAAAATGTGGTCTGTTGCCATTGTATTTAACAGTTTAAAACAAAACATCCTAAATTTTAAATGGCAAACGTATTTGCATATTTTACCCATGGATACCAGAAAGCTAAAACCATGACTAGTACAGCTAAGTAATCTAACATATTCTAAATTTCTCTAATTTAAATTATTAATGCTACAAGAGTAAATAACATAATGTATATAACATAATCTAAAACAAGAAATGTACCATTTCACAGGAATGAATAGGTCTTTGAAAAAAAGAAAGAGAATGGAAAAAGCCTCTACCTGCAAAGTTTCATCCTCAAAACAACTCCGACTTCTGCCTCACGGGTCACTGAGCAACTGTCTTAACATACTGTCGCCGGTAACAACCAGCCCAGCGATTTTCCCTCTCTCTGCTTTTGGCTTGTCCGAGCACAATATAAGCCCTCTTCACTTTGGCCCTTTCTCTGCTCACATCTCCACTGACATTGCAACGTCTGGACAACTCTCTGACAAGTCGATCGTGGATGGCCAAAAAGTCAAACTGGAGAGGTGGGTGAGGGAAAATAGTAACTTGAGACGACAAGGTGTGGATGAAGAGGACAGGAGGGGCAGGGGGAGTCAGAGGGAGACGAGACAAAGCACCGGTACTTCTGACAAAGAACTACAAAATAGAGAAGAGGAGGCAGAAAGCAACAGCTAACGTGACACCAGTGTGCAGAAGCATCTCAGAAACTTAAGGAGGAATAGGTGCTTGCAAAGTATTACAGCTATGGGCAGACAGATCTCAAATGAATTATTGATGTGTAGGACATGATGGGCTAATATTGCCTGGGTCTGGATAACATCAAAACATTCAGTATGGCTGAAGTGTTTAATTGAGATGGAGACAGGCAAAAGGATTGCTGTTAATATGCTGTTTATTTTGATATAATAAGATATGGTCTTTCCTATGAAAAACCATGTGATTCTGTCGCTATCTGAAAGTAGCCCGGATGTAAACCATCTGAGTACCTGTGACATTAAAGTCTGAAACATTACATTTGCTATTTGGCCTGAAGACATTGCATTTGAAAGTACCAATTGAATATACTGTATATATATCGAGAACAAATACACTAATCAGTTATTAGTGTTGAGTATTGGACTGTTATAATATTCTTGTTAACATTTGAGGAAGTAAAATGCGATTTATAGAAATAGAACTGTTTTTTAAGATGTACTGTATGTTGTATTGTTGTTTGTAATAGATTTATTTGTTTACTTGTACTGTATGATAAGTCAGTTAATCAAATGAAGTAAAACATCTATGCAAGGAAAAAAACTACTGGAAAAATATGTTAATTATTATCAATATTCAAGTGTATAAATATGGTTTTCATGACAACAGTCCTAGTTTTTATTGTGAAACATGGATAAAGTCTAATGGGAGACTTTGTTGTTGATTCAACAGATAAACGTAAAAATGCAAAAAAGGAAAGGTATAGGCCTAATATTTATGATATTAGTATGCTGTTACTGAGTTCAGTTAGCCATCTCAGTTCATTTTTCCCTGACTTCATTCATATCTTTGTACTCTGTAACTAGGGTTATTTTTCCATTCAGCTGTGAGGTAGCATATAAGGATTTTACAACATGCTGTGCAAAGTCATAAAACATTTTAGTATTATATTCACTGAGAGATCATTTATATATATATAAAAAAAAAGTCCATTCAAGTCAACTATGATTTCCCTGTTCTTTCAATGTTCGCACATGTAAAGCCTGTGACTGTGATGTGTTGAAAGCCAGTCCTTTTTGACTTTCCTCTGAGCTGTAATGACATGTCATTACCTCTTCAGGCCTGACACTGTGGATGTAGTTGTTTGTCAGGGCTTAGGAGCAGCAGACTCTGAAAGGCTTGATAAAATCTTCATCACTTTTAAGATATCTGCTCTTGTGATGATCAAATTTGTTCAAGTGAAAAATGTGCTGCATAAAAGTTAGTTTCATTTGCTCCTTTGATGCAGGTTAAGTGGGTTCAGACAGGGGCGCACAGTGAGTTGAAATAAATTGCCAGTCTGACCGTGAAATACCAGAGTGCAAAATGGCTTACATGCATCACGCAGGTGTAATTACAGGTGTTGCCTTGACATATGCCATGCTCCTTTGGTTAAATGAACTCATTTACAGAGCTATTCATTGTCATCCATCTGTCATCTTGGGCTAACAATATTAGGGACTCGTGCATGTCCAAGCAGGAGACCAATATCTGTCTCTATAGCCTTTGTTTAATTCAATCCATAGCTGGGACATAAACCTATATATGACAAGGAAACATACTGTACTGTGCTGCATAATGACATCTTTATGCAATTGGAGCCTTTGGAGCAACCACTAATTATGTTACTTCAGCCATAGATTAGACAGGGGATTGCTTCATGCAGAGAAAGAGCTGCAACCTCAGCATTTGTGAGGTGAAGCTCTTAATCGCAGCAAGCAAATGAGTAATAGATGACTAGACAACTTGAGTAGTTTTACACAAGTAATTATTTATTTTGTGTTGCAGCTTAGGACTACTATTAGTACTACCAATGACTCATATTTAAAGGGACATTGTGTAACTTTTCTGGTGGAGGGTCTGTCACATGCTTTTCTCCACAGAGATGTTATTGTTTTGTCTGGAATGTTTCACTGTATGGTATTAAACTTTCCTAGCTTCATGGAGACCAAACCAGATCAAGTTACAGATCAGATCTGTGGAGAAGCAGTTCCATTCACAGTCAGAACGTCTGCTTTTCTAGGTATTTTTGAGCTATAAAACCACCTGTAATCGAATACATGTAAGGTAGGGCTGTTTAATGTCATACTGTGGAACATTCTAGGCCGAGCAATATTTTATCCATAGAAACAAGCAGGTGATGGCCCTCCAACCAAAAAGTTACACAGCGCACTTTAACTATGCCCTGTTGTTACTGTATGTAAGTACCATGATGCAGCTCTTAATTTATTTTTTATTGTCAATAGTCAAGCTACGTTCCAGAAAGAACAAAATTGTGGTGCTCCTTTAGAGATAGGGTGAGGAGCTCAGTCACTCTGGAGGAGCTTGGAGTAGAGCTGCTGCTCCTCCAAGTTGAGAGGAGCCAGCTGAGGTGGCATCTGGAACAAATGCCTCCTTGACGCCTCCCTGGGGAGTTGTACTGGGCACGTCTCACCGGGAGGAGGCCCAGGGGAAGACCCAGGACACGCTGGAGGGACTATGTCTCTTGGCTGGCCTGGGAATGCCTCTGGATCCCCCTGTAAGAGCTGGAAGAAGTGAGTGTGAGTGTGAGTGTGCTCAAACTACTGCCTCCGTGACCCGGCCCCCGGATAAAGCAGAAGAAAATGGATTAACGAATAGATAGATAAATAAATAGGTTTGTCTGAGGGCATTGTAATTTAAATATTATTAGACAATATAGCCTGGCCCACCACAGTGAATGTTGACTTAATCTGTTTTTCAAATGTAAATTATCTTCTTTTCGTTCTCACCGTAAAGATTTCCTCCGGCCTCACCAGCAGTTCCTTTTCACTGGATATATCTGTACTTGGTTGTTGTTTGACCGTCTTCCTGCCGCTTGGGGTCGCCCGCCCATTACGCAGCGCGGAGCACGGAAAAGTGCGTTTGGAGAAAGAAATCCGCTCTCCCCGCGCCGGAGCCGAACTGTTTACCCTGACGTCAGTTTGCAGAAGTCGCTGTGCCCTGTCTCCGCTCCGTGTCTGCCGCTGAAAGTCTACTCACTGAAGAGGAGAGGAGCGACAGATGGGATAGGCGCTCTGCAACTTACCCGGACCTTTCCAAGTGACTGAAATGAATCCTGCGACATGTTTCAAGTGGACTAAAACAGCCTCAATATGAACACCTGCGCTTTTCTGTTGATTTTAGCCGTCCAGATCTACGCCGATGGCATTGAAGGACCAACAGGTAAGACACGATTTCATACCCACTTTTCCAGTAATAGTTTGTAAGTTTTTAGTTATGAATAAAAGTTATAATTGCGAGTAAACTCAGTGCATGCCTGTCTAGCGTGGTGCCAACTTTGGATCGCTGCTCCTCCGTAGTACACTCCCGTTTCATGTGGCTTTTTGGATGCGAGTTTTGCAATGTGGAATGACACAACTTAATCTGTAAACTTTTAGAAACATTGTAGTGTTTTTAATGCTTGAAAACTCACTTTGCTGTGTGCTATCTCATGTAAAATTTAGCTTTTATTTCCCCAAACATACGCACTGTGCTTTCCTGCTTTATGGCTGTGTGCGATAAGGCACAGTCGGCTCCAGGTATGAGGGAAAAGCAGCTGCTGCACCTTTTGTTATCCATAGTTTGCTTTTGTTTATCCATGGCGACAGTTACCCCTCAAGCAAAATAAACGACACTCCCACGATATGATATCCAGGATTTATGAAAGACTAGACAGGATTGCCTGGAGTGGCTTTGGTTAGTGTGTCAGTTTTCTAGGCTACCTTCCCAAAAGTTACCTGATTGGTTGCTGCTTTTGTGATTTTAAATTTTGATTTCAAACATGATCCAGGATTGGCTCTCCTGTTTTTAAATATCCCTAAGTCACATGTTACTTATCTAATTTTTCCAACAAAATTTTTATTCAAATTCCACATTTAAAGGGATATTGTTGATTAGTTTCATAATCTTAAAAGCCCATTGCCCTATTATTTTATGGTAGGATCAAACAGAGCCACTTCATAAATTACTCTGGATAATTGCAAGGCTTGTTACAAAACTATACAAATAAGCCTATATCTAAATGGAAATCCGTATGGAAGAATAATAAATTACTCCATAACATATTGTATTGTCAATACTTTTCAGCTCTCACAATGCATTAGTGATTTTTTAATATGTCATGTAATAATGTCTTTTTAGATTTTTTTTTTGGTTCCAAAGCTGTAATGAGCATAGAGATAAAGATACATATTTTATGCTCTCTAAAGAGAAAAGTGGGATGATAATAATAACATTTAGACCGTGGCATAGTGGTCAGCAAACAACACAATGTTAGTAATTTGTTTTAAAAAGACAAGTAATTACATGGAAATCTGCTTTTTCACCCTGGGTTTGTATTCATCTTGCAGCACAGTGATTCATGGAAGTCACCATAGGACACAACTAAGTAAGCAGGATGTGTATTGTCATGAGGTTGATTGGAGCAGATCATTAAAAGGAATGAGCCGCGACATTTGAAAGATTAAATCACACACAGGTAATTAAAAGTGTGCAGTGAAACGCTTCACCCGGGCTGTGTGAGAGAGGCTGTCAACACAAATTTACCCCCTGTCAGGTTTTTTAGTTTGTTAACTGGAGTGTTAAAGCCTGCCCCATCTGCACATGTACCTTCCCATTAACTCCTAATAGTTACCTGTTTCTGTACGTGACTGATCCTGGCCTTTCCGTGCTCCCACATCCTGAAATGAACAGGTTGAAATGCAGCCTTGACTCCCTCCATCTTTCCCAGTGTTGAATTTGATTAACACTCCAGATTCAGACCACGCCTTAACCTTGGATGCTTAATAACAGTTAAGCCCGGACAGTCCTTCTGGGATTTCTTGCCTTTTTCACCTGATCCATATTTTCATAACTTCTGCAATGATGGTCTTGTCTGTCTGAGTTGTAGATGTGAAATTTCAAAGGGTTGCGCAATATTTTAAAACGAGATGCAATATGCAATAGCCATGTTGAATATTGGCTATATTTGGGTTTTATAATGTTCAGACTTCAAAGTTTAGTTTCATTTAAGAAGTACAAGCTTGAAACTGACTAAGGAAACTGAAATGAATCCGGATATTTTAATTTATATTTATTTCCTTGAAGTTGTTGCTTATACTTAAAAAAAACAAGAATGTAAATATGAATAAAATAATTGAGTATTACATGTTTTATTGTATTTAAACACTTTATGGAACTAGACATATTTTATCTATCTTAAATTTATTTACTGATCTGATCTGTAACTTGGCCTGGGTGCTATCACCTAAATGAAGAGAGATACGTTTAATGCCATACTGTGGTATATTTCACGCAGAGTAAATACATCTCCATGGACACAAGCAGGCTGCAGACCAGAAAAGTACTGCACCTTTAACAATTGCCTGTGTGGAAGATCCAAGTTTTATTGTGATACTTTTGTTATTATTGATGTAATTGGATATTGTCTGCCAATTATAAAATCAAGATCAGTTTTCTATGCAGCAGGACACTGATTTCATTCGCACCAATTTTGTTCAAGGATACTGTGAAATCAAAATTTGGGAGCTATTCTTTTCTGCCATCCATCTTTCTTGCTGATATCAAACCTGAGCTGACACTTTCACTCTGTCGTTGGGGAACAGAGTAGACCCTCTCTTACCATCTGTTTCCTCTATTAGCTGTGAGTGTTGTCAAGTGAGGGGTGTAATTATCCCACGTCTCATGACTCATTGGCCGGTTTGATCTGAAGTTAAGACAGAATATCCCTTTTGCTTATTTCAGTGAATAAGAGATCGCTTGGGCCGAGATGAAAAGGACTGTGTGAAGCGATGGTACGTCTGGTTGGAGCATAGAGTGGAATGAATAATGCCCCAGCGTTGATAGCTACATAAACATTGGCAATAGCTTTGGGGATGTTTTAGGACTGCAGGAAGATAAGGACATTAAAGGTTAAATGTTTTAAGTTATATCAGATATGAGTAGTACAAGTACAGATAAAGCAGGCCAAAGGAGCCATTGAAGTTGATTTCTTGTTATAGCCATATTTCAGTTCAGTGTTCTCTCATTTCACTGGTTTATTATTCTTGCATTATTCATATCAAGCCGCCTATTTGTAGCTGCTAGACGTCCATTACTGAGGGTCTATTAATACTGTACCAGTGTTTCCCACATTGAGATACAGGGACACGGTGTTGTCACGATAGGAAAATTTCAAACTCGATTTTGATACTAATGAATAAGCTTGATAATCCATGAAGAATTTGATACCACTATGATTTCGAAAACATAATGATTTTAATTTATTTTAGACCACAGCATTCTGCAGAATATGACTTGGTTTATACTGAAATCATTTTTAGAAATGTTCTACTTAAGGCATAATAAGTCAGCGGAAAATAGGACTGAAACAACAACCCTTATTCAAATAGTACCCGGGTGTTTTGTTGTTTTATCAGTGACCCATGGGTGCTGACTGCAGTAATTTTTCTGTATGATTTGACAAACAGTGACTTTGCTTTCACTTTTCATATTAAAATAAACTGAATCACCAGAGTACCAGAATATCAAGGGGCTTTACCATTTTTGAAAAAAAAAAAATCAATACTAAGTGAAACATGCTGGTTGTCTATATCAACACGGAAATTGAGTTTTTAATTCAGAGACAGGTGTGTAATGTTCTTTGTTCCTCCTGTGTTGCTGTCTGTCGCCGGCACAAAGACATAGTTTTACAGGTCATTTATGTTGCCCTTTGTTAGAAAAACATCTGACTAGATTTCACAATAATTGAATTCCCACCTCAATGTCAACACAAAGGAAAAGTATTGGTACTAAGTATTAATTCAAAACTTTACTTTTACAATATCAACTTCAAATGAATTTCGATATTAGCTGTAGTATCAGTTAGTATCTCGGTATGTTTTTTATTTACAGTGTGACTGTCCAGGTACCCATTAAGGTCAGGATAAACTATATAAACTCTTAAGTGCAGAGGATATTAATTAATGATCTAACAGGGGTACTTTTCATAACTGTAAGCACCTGTCCAATAGTTGGCCTCCCCTGTCTACTACTGGTCCCATCCCTCATTGTCTTATGATGGATATCACCTCCGTCTGCTCGCTGCTGAGTGGGCAGAGGCGTTTTGTGCTAGCCTGTGATTGTTGAGCTTAATTAGCCCTGCTGAGCATTTCCACAACCCATTACAATCCTTTTCCCTAAATCAGCTCTGTGCTTGTGCTTTCGCCCAGGTCTGTACTGTGAAGTGAACCCATGCAGAGGAGTGTTTGGGCTTCTCAGAGGTCAAGTGCAGGTTGGGAGCCATGTTTCTGAGGCTGCATTATCGTCTTTTTGAGAGCAGGGCATCTTGGTTGGCTTTGTGTGCGTCATATCACATGTCTCTGTCAGTGGTTTAACAAAGAAGGCTGAAAGGACCCGTTTGGAAGGAAGTCTTCCAAATTGGAGGTAATTGCACCTGACAAGCATTATCCTGCCATGCTGTTTCTGTGAAAAGTGTATTATTTAGGGGTCAGGAACCAGTGGCACGTCCACAAATAGAAGACAAAAAGCTAATTTTATTCCATAGGCTGGATGTCTATGGTCAGAAAACAAAGGTTTGGGTAATTGGCAAAGCTTTCTGTTTTCGGGTGCATGGTGTGGTGTTGTCTTGTTTTATGATAAAATAAATGACAAACTTACATTTTCTATATGTGCACACATTAGAATCTTTACACGAAAATTCAATTAAAGCTAACTGCTGAATAAACATCGATACACTAATAACTATAATAACTATACTGAACAGAAGAAAAATGACATGAAGATGTGAAAGAGACATTTTAAATAAATCCTCAGTACAGACCTTTATGTAAAACAAAAATACCTCTGTGCTGTCAACATCACCATTAAATATAAAGATATGATATGACTTATGTGATAAATCGTCTTTGACTTGACCATTAAAAATCTCTTTTTGAGACGTCGTCGTATCTTAGCGTCTTATTGTGGCTCCTATTAATCAATATCTTATTGTGGCATTTACACCCCTAATACTTATGCAGTAATGAGACATTGCTGACACTGTAAACATGAGCATAATGTATTAATGCAGTGTGTGTGTGGTGTGAAGCAGCCTCCTCCATTAGCGCCTGATTGTGTGTGTATCTTTAGGAGCAGGGAGCCTTCCTCTTGTGTCCTGTCATGTTCTTAGGCCCCACTGATCTGAC